GCATCACACATCCGTTTGCTCACCCCGGCTGCCGCGGGTTCTGCTGTGGCTTAAGAAATCCTGCAGCGCTTCTACGCCAAAAGAAAGAGTTAATTAGAAATACAAATTCTCCCAGATTGTTATTAATGGGAGCCGTGGAATAAGCAACACATATTTTGTGCCCGTAAGTAATTCTCAGGTACCTTTGATCTCCAGCCCACGGCGGAGGCTGTGGCGTGCCGCTGCTTGGCTTCTGGGACTTTGCCAGAACCAGACATCTGGCTACTTTGTTACCATTGGCTGATCCGGCCCCGGGAGGCCACTCTCGCGACACCAGGCAGAGAGTGTCCTGGCAAGGGAAATTATCAGCACATTTTGAGTGGATTAGAGTTCCAAAGTGGTCCTCAAATCTCCATAGGGGTCCGGCGGGCCACCCTCCACTGGGGTTTCCTAAGCCCCGGCAACCAGAAGCAGAGACTTAAACAGGCTCTATCGTGGAGCCGTCGGACGGCACAGAGGCTGGTCCTTCCTGCTCCACAGGAAGACGTCTGCAGGAGCCTGGGCTGGGGAGTTCCATTCATTACTTCGTAATCTCCATAGCTATATATGCCATAAAGTAACTGAATAAAAGGGCTACTAACTGTAATATAACAAACAATCATGCTGTGACACACACAGTAGCAGATGACGATGGTGATGATCCACACTCCAGTTAACTGTTCAAAAAGTCTCCTTGATGGGAAAACAACTTCTCTGGTGGGTCAACAGAGGTAACTGGATGCCCGGGCGAGGCATGTAACGCCACCACAAATTCATGCGATAAGTTTGCCAGCTTTTTCGACAAACACACACACACATCTCTAGACGGGCAGTCGACCTAGAGCTGAATAAGCTAAAAATCGGGTGTTTTCTAACAGTCAGGCTGGCACCGGTCACTGTAACCTGCTGACAGGAAGCGTCAGCCCCACTAGACCTCGACACGGTGGCATTTTGAGGGATCACTGGGAGGGCGTTCCGCGCAGACAAATGGAGCTGGGGGACACGCAGAACAGTACTCTGCGCCATTGATGGTGGCGTCGTCTTTCCCGCGCCTCGGTGTTCCCCGTCTCGAAACACATGGCTCCAGTGACCCATACATATTACATACAGTGGAGATGCAAAGCGGGGATTAACGAGCAGTGCGAGCACCAAATCCCCTGGGGCCTGCTAAGCAGGGCACGGCGCTGCTTCCCTCTGGGTAAAGCCCCACCCCCAACCCCCCCACCCCACACCATCCCTACGTCACCGTGGCAGGGGCAACAAAGATGCTGACCGATAGCATCTGTGAGGAGAGTTCCGCTGCTGTACCGTTAAGCTAGACATCTGATCTGGAATGCTCCCATTAAAATATTGAGCTGAATAAATATAAAAAAGAACAACAAACATGCATAAATATATTTCTCTTTATGTATTTCACTGCTGGAGGAGACCATTGCAGCAGTTGCTGGCCCTATTACCTCATCAGCTCCACTGACCTCTCTGGTCAGCCTGACTGCTGGGGGGGGCAAAGTATCCCAGAGTCCATCACAGCTTTGAACTCACTGATGACCTCCGCATGTTAACGGGCCTCACAGAAATCCAGCTCTTTACACACTTACACAACATTCAGAGCTCCGGCTGCCAGGATTCAGATGAGACGGACCTCGGTGGAGATGAGGCAACACGGCAGACCTGTAACGTCACTTCTGAGCTGCTAGGTTAACAAAAGAAGGTCCATAACAACACTCCTGGCTCTGACCACCTACTCATCTTCCATCGCTACCAAGAAGCGTGAAAACGTAAGAACGCGGGCAGGCAAACGCCTGAATGTGCCAGACAGTTTGCGATTAACTGTTTCATTTTAAGCTTGTTATTACCATTGCTAGTATAAATTGTATCATATAGGGCAGGTGGTTGGCTGTCTCAGGGAAATAAAACACTTGAGTAACTGGTTGTTTTCGCCGATTTACTGACTTTGTTCCTCAAACGAGGGTGGTTATTTTTGAGATGCTGCAATCACAACACATGGCACTAAATCACACCACACTGAAAACTGCTTAAATCAGACATGTTAGCTGTTTTTTTCGTACTCTATATTGTCACTGTCCAATGAAAAACAGATATATCCAAAAATCCAACAGCTTGAATAAATACACAAACTACTTCACAAAATAAACCCAAAACACTGCAATGAGAAATCACAAACAGAAGGTATGTTTACACATCAATCAGTGAGTGGTTTAATATTTGAAATGGACTTACGTTGATTGCTGTCGGCAATTCAAACATGTCAGTGTCAACAAGATACAAACTTGTCTCACTTTGTATTAACAATTAACAAGTTAGCTATCTATCAATATTGTTAAAATTAACAATATAAAGTAATTCATAAAAAGTAAGAAGTGGACATAAGTGGTTTTCATTGCACATCGACGATATTTAGTGCTCACAGAAAATCTTGGCACGCTTGCTTAATTTAGTCAAAATATTGCAAATGTATTGGTTTTATAACAAAACTCATTACTTTATTAATTTAGAAAAATATATCTCACATTAGAAACAACCAGTAGTTTTAAGTAAAACATTAATTTCAAGTAGTAATAAACTGAAACCCAAATTATAGTTCTAAATGAGCTATTCTGAGTTACAAGTTCATTGACAAGCAGTCTCATTGGGTGCTTTTTAATTAGTAACACCTTTGCAATAACATAAAACACCAAACATCAGTGTTTAGTATCCCTTTGGGGGCCAGTGACTACAACTGCAATTAATAGCAAAATGGCAAGAACAGAACTGTATGAGTCAAAAAAAAAATGATGACACAAAATAAAAAGAAAATGTCTGTGCGGAAGACGGGCAGATATGTTAAACATCGCTTGTCAATGGACTTTTGTTATGAAACCAATACATTTGCAACCAAGTGTCCCAAGACTTTCTATGAGGACTTTGTTCAGTGACATAATTCACTGTGTTGGGATGCAAAGCGTTGGCACTAGCAAGCAGGTATATGTAAAGTGTAGCAGGCCACTGAATGTATGCTGTGCACTATGCACAGCGCTCACGTATACATGATGTGTCGTATCCCTACGCAGCGCGGCGGCTGATGTGTGGGGTCACGTGCAAGACGCAGCGCACTACGCACTGTCTGGCGTGACGCGCACCTGTTTCAATGAAGAAGAGTGATCATTATAGCTGACGAGAAGCAGTCAGGGCGCAATGACAGTCTGACAGGAAGGAGCTTTTCAATTTGTAGGATCAGATGGTGACATGCACCATCAGAGAACAGGTGAAACCTTTTCATTTGAGGAGAAGAAAAGAGGGAAGGAGCATCAATTAGCATCAACCATTAGACAACCAATGACAAGTTCTTGCATTATCATGAGGGACAGCCAAACTAATGAGAAGGCGTTACACTACAGAGGATAGAACCCAGTAGTTGCGCTACCGCTAACTGGTATACTGTCTGGTGAGATTTTTTTAGCAATCTGGCACAATTTCCCATCACTTTAGATTGATGCAACGAGTGCAAAGCATTTGATGCGGAAGTTTCAAAAAGAAAGATGTACAATTTGCAGCATACATGTAGAGAAAAAAGTATGTGGTTCTTTAGTTAATTGAGATCAAAGGTAAACCTCATCTGACCCAAACTAACCGAAACGTTTCTATATTTCAAGTTAATTGAGGTCAAAGGTTAGGTAAAATGGACCTCATTTTAATACTGGTATGACAGAATGGCATCACAGTTCAAATTTTCAGTAGCAATTTATTTTTAACAACCGATCTACCGATAAGATGTTTTAAATTGTTCGTGATAAGGAGTTAGGGATTTCTCAAAACTCGTTCCAGAAAGTGTGGTCATTTATAGCCTGAAGCACATGTAAGTAACTTTCCTGCAAAAGATTTTGAAGTTTAACTATAAACAATGTGGGGGAAATTGTGATATTTACTGTTTCAGGCAACCTTTCAGCTTAAGACATGCTGCATTGTTGATGCTTTGACAATCAGACTGAAAAGTCCATGCAGAAATGTTTTATTTATAAACAGACGCTGCTTTCATGGACTGTATACTGTAGGTCAACATCTAAATGATACAGATTATCACCCCCATTTACTATATATTCACGTGAAACATGAATACTGCATTATTCTCATCAGGAGATGTTTAGGCAACATACTACAACACAACCGAGTAAGGCACTTGATATTTTTCAAGGTATTTTTGCAGAAGAAATTCTGTACAATTCTAAACATGGAAACCTACAGTTGGTAGGATGCTGAAATCAAGTTCAGCCTCGTTGTAATGTTCTTATGCTGACAATGGCAGTATTTATAATACGCACATTTTATTACAATGATCTGCCATACCATGCAAGTGTAAGCACCTGAAAGAAATGCCAGAGGGTAAAAAATGGATTTAAATGTATCAGAATAACCAATTTATGAAATGTTTTGATATTACTGCACACGTTTATGTCAGTGACACGAAACTTTAGCAAAGCAGAAGCGCCCGAGGCGACAATGAGGATCCCACGCGCCTCTGCAGACAACGCGCGGCGCGCGGAAAATACTGAATCTCGAGCCGTTTTCACATTATTTTTGTTGGGTTTTCTGTCAGAAAGGAACCTTTGAAAAAAATAAGTCACTAAATTTACTTCCACTGTAGCTTTTTTTCCATAATAAAAAGCTATATGAATTCGAGACGAGTACGCGAGTTTCTTGAGTTATGACACTAACGTAAAGTAATATCTGATATTTTTCACGCGCTGGTTTCCACAGCGGGAAACGAAAAATTGTTAATTATCAAAATTACAATATAAGATTTTATTTTGTTCAGCCTAAACCCTTTCGTCTCACAAAATGCCCGAATAAAATATGCGTTTTGTCAAATGTGGAAGATAAAATATAACCCGTTTTCCGTTACACATTGACCATTTCGAAAACATCTTGTGGAGTACTTTAAAGAAAACATGTATTAGCATTACGTGTTATCTAAAATAACCTACCTTTAGCTCAACTGGAGCGGTCATTCTTTCTCATAAACTTCTCAAGAACTTCCTCCAGAAGCTGTGCCAGTTAGATATGTTTGCTTTAGTTTCCGTTAATAAAACCGTATTTAAAAAGTCATCCACTGTCCCTATAAATCACGAAAAAACTACGTTACAAGAACGTCGCAGCAAACAGAATGTGCCTGATACAACCGTAAAATATCTAAATTTGCGCACATCCCCGCTGTCATCCGTGGTGATTTCCATTTTCCTAAAAAAAAAAGGATAAAATAAGTACGAGTGGCCATTTGAAATGTTCGCAGATGTAATAAACAGAACTCTACTGTCAATATCTTTTATTGTAATGTAACCAATGTGCGTTTGCCTTTTGTCATATTAGTCATGTGTTGCGCGTATATTTTAGGTTTTATGGGCTCACCAATAGTTCAAGAATCCAAGACACCCTTCGCGACTGACCTGTGTAGAATTAACAAATGAAAGCTGCTCAGCTCATACTGGTATTATGATTACGTACTTGAATCGGTGCATTATTTTAATCATTATAGGTAAGTTCGTTTAGCTTATGTACGAAAATTACGAAGCTGCTTATTTTATTGCAGTTTGCAATTACTAAATTGCAGGGAACTGCTGCAACTCCTACAGAGCATCTTGCCTTATTATTGTACATCCAGTCTAAAGTGTGCTGGGACGTAATCCTGTTATTTCTTTGGTTAACAGTCTACACACCGACGAACCTATAAACGTTATTCTTTAAAAGCACATTGATAACTGTCAGTGACTTTTCCTCAGGAACATGCGCACAGTTACCCACTTGAACTTGAGGTCCTCCTTTTGCATCTATGCGTGTTGCTACGTGACTTAACTCCAGAAATCTATATGAGGCCATCATTCCTGATGAAAGCGTATTTTCCTGTTCCTGTATTTATAACAGTTTGCTCAGGCCATGTTTGAGGTTCTCTTTTAATCACCAACCAGGCACATTGCCAATCACATCATAATCGCTTTAAATATTACTCTGACACCTAGGATAGTATGCTGTCAAACAAAGAGCCTCTAAAAGAGGCAGTTCTTTATTTTTCGCTTTTCTTGAAAACAGTTTATTTGTATATTATTCATATTTGTACGGAGGACTGTGTTACATGTGTGTTACATTTTTTAAAAAGTATTAAATAATTTGAAGAAGCATTTTAGTTTTTAATCCGATTCCCTGTTTGTTTAAATAATTCTGCATATCTGGGTGGAACTGATGCATATTTACTGACTTCAGCTCTGCAGATACTCAACACAGGGCTATATTCCCTAATTAGAATAGGGAAAATTATATTCCCAAACTCTGGAAAGTCACGGATTTACAGTGTCATTAGTATGTTATTTGGACCTCCATGAAAGGTTTTGTTTTACTTGGATGCTGATTAAAATGCAGATCACTGACGACCGAAGCGTAACCATTAACATTTTGACACTCGTGCCTTGAAGCATTGGCCGAGTTCATACGATCGGGCGGTATTCTTTGATTCGGGGCAAGATTAACAATGCCGAAAGGGGCTTGAATTTCTTATATTATCAATAGCGGAGACAATTTTAAGCGAATGACTTTCTCGCTGGTGCCTTATTTTACTTGCTGACAGGTGCATTGGGCCTTCTATATTGATTTTGAGGACCTAGAGGTATGTGACATCATTATAAGGATTGACCTTATCATCCACTGCCCCGCAGCTTCGGTGCGCTATTCAGGCTCGTGGAGTTTAATGCCCCCCCCCCAATGGACATCAGCGGTAGTCTGTCATCTGGAAATTGGTATGTATTATTTGTTTTGCTGACCTCATATCTCACCTCTCTTTCTTCCTTTCTAATCAGTCTCACCAGTTTTGCAGCTTTTTTTCAGCCAGGCAGACGGCTTGGGCTGGGGGTTCATGTCTGCACAGTTTTATACTGTGCAACCGGACAACACAGAGTTGCCGCGTGGTAATCGTCAGTCAGCCTGCGCACGTGGATAAAACACGTGCTAATGACGTGCATGTTAATTATGCGCATGTTGATGATGCACCTAGGCGGAGGCCAGCAGTATTGACGAATTGATATATATTTCAATACTAATTGCGCTACAATAATTAGTTCAGGACTGTGACCCGCACTGTGTGCACGATCTAGTATACTTTGTGCATTAATATCTTTGCTTTTTGGATAACTGGCTGCATCAAGTGTATATTTTTGACCAAGAAGTTGTGTATCAGCTGAAAGCAAGTATTAATTTTTTCTAAATATTTTCTGCTCTTATTTTACATTTCTTTCGGTTGTACGCTGATTCACATACATATGACGACAATCCTTTTATGCCCGGGCCTTTGGGTCTTTCTCCTCGTTAATGTCAGCAGGTGAAAGGCGTGGATTCCCGAAAGACTCTGCAGTGACTAAACAACAAGATATACTAGCGAGTCAGCTGATGACTCAAGGTGACTGACAACACTAAGGTCTACAGTTAAAGAAAGCCACGGCGGTGTGCTTTTTTCAGATTCTTAGCTTTCTGTCTGCTTTACAAGATACTCCATGCGGCACCAGGCGAGGCCTCTGAAACTGACACATTTTAGAGACTGGTGAGCTTTTCAAATCCCACACCCATGTGTCAACCCCGCACCTTCTGTCCTGGGCCTGGTCCTGAGAGCTGGTCAATTCACTAGCCATTGTTGGGGGAAAAATCACTAATGCTGCAGATGTCTCCACTGTCACCACGTTCCTTGATTAGTTACGCACCAGAGATGCAGATCTCGATGATGCTCCCATTGCTTCAGACTTCAGAGCTGATGTCTTTGTTCTAAAAGGAGTTTTAGAAATAAAATCATAGTATAATCTCACCGAATGCTGTTGAAATTGTCATTTTAATTTTAAACAAACAAAAAAATAGATCGTTAAACATTGAACAATTTAATGTAAAATTATTGGAACTATTCAAATTTGTTTGAAGTAATTTCCATTATTTTATGTTGACAGTGTTGTCTAAATAACACTGTTGGGGAAATATATGGCCATTTTCGCAACAATGGAAGGTTCTGATATTTACATTTCTGTTTGCCTCCACCCAGCATGAATAACATAGTATGAACAAGCACAAAAAAGCACAGACATCTTCAGATACATCAGCCATCTAAAAAGCAATTCCTGTCATCCCCGGTGCTAGGACAGAGCTTACAGGATCAGCTGGTGAGCAACCACTGAATGAATGAATGAATGAATGAATGAATGAATGAATGAATACAAAAATTCCTTCACCAAGAAGCAAAAATGCTACAGCCTTCATGTGCATATCATCTTTTGTGTGTCTGGGTGTTGGCGTGTGTGTGTGTGTCTGTGTGTGTGTGTGTGTGTGTGCCTGTGTGTGTGTGTGTGTGGGTGCCTGCCTCTGTGTGTGTGTGTGTGTGTCTGGGCACGTGTGTTTTTTGAAAAAGCTACCGGCAGTTACCTTGTTCACGGCACAAAGGAAATGTGTCAGAATAAAAGACTGTCTCTGGTGGTCTTTGCACCATAATTGGGATTGTTAACGTGGAGGAGATCCTGGGGGAGACATGCTCTTCTTTTGGCGTAAAGTACATATGCAGTTCAGCATCGCACCTTCCAGCTTTCATAAGCCAAACACAAAGAAGTCACCTGTGTGAAATCAAGCGGTGTTTAATCTCACTTTTTTTTTTTGCATTATTGTGCGCGGTGTAAATACAATTGAGTTTAGAAATAATTTTCATCATCTGAAAGCTCTTGAGGGAATCTTCAGAATGCCCCCCAGTGTTAAAAACACGTGGAAAAATAACAGAAAGGGCTCATGTTTACAGTGAAGGGGACGAAATTTTGATATACTTGAAAAAATGAGAAAATATCTACACCTGAGGTGAAGAAGTAGGAAAGGCTGTCACATTTGGCCTGCATTCTGGTCCGAGGGTATTATCATACATCCATAATCATCATTTTGTGGTTATTTTGATTGTTCGTAACTCATTTTGTTGAGTGCTGAAGGGACGCCCGCACTGATGTCACATTAATGTGTTTTTCTTATTTCTCTTTCATTCTTACGCAGTACCGCTCCTAGCCAAGGTGGCGCCCTAGGCGAGGACCACCGCCAGCGCCCCCCGTTCGGGACAAAGCGAAATTGGCTGGCAAGTTGGCGCCCCCCCTTCCCCCACAGAAGCTGGCATCCTGTAGGCGTCCGCCTATGTCACCTGTTCTTATGAATAAACACAGACGATAATGTTTGTCAAGGTCTCGAATCTGGCGACATGAGAAATACATCTGTGCAACTTCAGAAAGGAGTGACATATTCTGGAATAATATGGTTGGAAAGTTTCCGTTCTTCTTCCTACCTAATAGTTTTTCAGTGATCTGTAATAATGATTTAGCCTCTATGGATTTTCACATTTACCATTCCAAGAAAGTAAAAAAACAAAAAAAACAACAACGGTGATTAAAATAACTGAAGACGCGGAGAACTTTCATTCAAATTAAACAAATAATGCGAATTTCATTCAACATCGTGTTATCATTGTCGTTAAACGCTTTTGCCCGCTGCATCTATAGTAACACCAGCAGAACCTTCTAATAATGAATAATGGGGCGCAACAGTGCGGAAGATTCGGGTTAAACAGACCAATGACACGCTCAGCCATGTGGAACATCGGGCTTCCATAACTGCACGGATCGTAATTGTAGAATCAAAGCAGTACGCTATCCGAAATAAATAGGAAATAGTAGCGGGCCTATTATTATTGCAATAAACGCATTTTTAGCATCCGTTCATCTCTTCTCTTTAGATATAATTAATGATTCTCACTACATTACCATTCTACAAAAAATACAATGTTATAGTCCATTATTTCATGTGGCAGCAAAATCGGTATAGTTTTTACCTTGGGATAATGCGTTACCCAAAGTCCGCTCTGGATGAATATAATTGAATGATACTGACGTAGCGCAGAAAATGCACTTCAAAGACCAGTTCCGTGAGAGGTAGGCAAGCCGATTGATTTATTTTACTTAAGATACACTTTTTGCGTGTTTCATTGTGAATGAAATTTTCATACACCGATTTAAGGGTATTGAAATATGAATGATTTCGTTAAAGTTTGATCATAAATCAGTCTGTCGGGTAGCCTGTATGCGAGAAGACACCGATGCCCC